GGCAGCATGCCCTGTTGCCATATGCACCACCCTACTTTTTTTTTGGCATGGATTTTTTTTACCCCAGGATCTCCTAGGGTCATAGCCGCCCCCCCCCCAGCTGCAAGGTAGCAGTGGAAAGAATGCCTGCATGTGCAGTGTGTGGCACTGCAGATGGGTCTGTGGGGCCACATACCATACATCCACACTTGTCTGGATGCAGCCTGTTAGGGTAAATTACAACTGTTTGAGTGTTGTCTGTTCAATTCTATCCCAGGGTAGCCATTTGCTTAAGGCAAATAGACTATTTCCTTCTTCCCTCTGCCTAATAGCAAAATACAATAATAGCAGTCAACTACATGCAGCAACACATCTGTATACTGTATGGAAACTGCTGTAGGTTCCACCATACTATGTGTATCATCTGTCCATGTCCAGATGCAGCTTAATAGATGAGAGTCATAGTTTACAGTCCTGACCCTACATTGACAGTAGTGTTTTATAGCAGAGGCTAAAACTTTACAAAAACTTGTACCTGTTCCAATGGGTACATTCTCACAGCAGGGCCCTGGCTTACTTCACTTCTTTCTGGATGGCAGGCATGTTTTACATGGGCTTTTTCAAAATGGATAAAGGTCAGATTTTAAGCTAGCCTGTTTAGCATTACTCTCTATTTCTTAGTGGTTCCCAGCCAATATTTTTTATCTTTTCTTATATAGTACTATGTGTGCAGAATGGCCAAGGAAAACACTGTCATAATGCAAACAGGAACAAAACACAGCAGTCACTATGTATTGTTCCACAGCTCCGCCCATCTTTTAAAGCCAACACTGGGATTTCAACATCTTATTACAAGACGCTCCATCCACTAGGCTTCCATCTCATTGAGAAAAGGGGATTCAGCAGCATGAAATCTTGTTTTCCACAACCAAGAAAGAATGGACCAGAGGCAAGTCAGCAGAAAATGAGGCTGATCTGCAACCAAAGACAACACTTCGCAGAGAAGCAGTACAGAATCAAACAATGTGCCTTTGGCTAAGCATGTTTTATGGGGGGAAAAAACTTTAAACTTGGGATCCAGAGTTCATGTTATTCTGCATCAACAATAATGGAAATTCTAAATTGAAATGTTAGATTTCTCACCTGATAAAGTGCAAATTTAGGGATGATCTTCTTACAGTTTAGGAGAACCCTAACTCTTTGAAACATGATTCCAATCGGCCACAGAGCGATAATTGTAAGGACCCCAATGAAGCAGTTAATCCATATTGCTGCTCCTTTGGGAGATAACTGAAAGCAAATTAAACAGGTACATGGATTAGACATGGCATAACTTTTCCTGTCTCAAGCCAGAGATAGTACTAAAGAGAACAAAAGAATTAAAATATTTGTTTCTCTTTTATGGAAGCTGCAGTCAATGCAGAGGCTGCAACAATTTGTTCTGAAAACTGTTCAGACCACAAAATCAACTGAAGCAATAGTGCATAGCACAGTATTATCTCATCAACCTGCCAGGGGCCTGCAAATGTGGTAGGTTCTGGCAAGGTGGATCTTTCAAGGACTTGAGCACTTTCAACTGCCCTCAGCAGTGGGAGTTGATGTTGCTCACAAGATCACACTCAGAATGACACCTCAGAAGCATCATGTGTTGTAGTGCTGGTTATTCTAAGACATGCAACAATGTCAGTAGGTATAAATGGTGGCAGTTTTTCCTAGACTTAGTGCCAATGCTCAATCCTTTCTGATCCTTTGGCCAAAAAGCCCTCAAACTAAAGTCAAGCTTAAAGGGGAGTACTTTTAATATTTTTGAAGAGGGGTTTTGTTTTCAAGTTTGCAGGGAAACCTAACCACCTTCCCACTCAGCTCTTTGGTTCTTCCCAAAGGTGAAAAGTATTTTTCATCCTCAAAATTTTCTATTAATACTACTATTATTGTGACTATAAAAAGAGCTATTCTGAAAATGTGTACTGAAAAGATTATTTGCCTTTTTCTGAATTGGGTGGAAACTTGTTAGTTCCAGCATTTTAACCTGGGGCATAATTGTTTTCAGAGGTTTCCCTGCCTTCAGGGAGTTTCACTATCCCATTCAGATTAATAGGAAGGAGCCAATGCAAAAGAGAGCTCAGATTTAGCTTTATGCATATGCTTTTATCTATAATATTTTACAAAGATCAAAGGTATGTCTATACTTCAGACTGTACTTTATTACAGAAACATCCAAACTAGCTTTAAATATATATATAACTTATAGTATATATATATTTTATTTAGTTAATTTATACTAGGGACAGAAATTACACATAAAGCAGTGTAAGTGATTGGAAACTGGTTCAAATTTGTAACACAACAGAAGTTCAGTGCACATAAACCACTTTCAAAATGGCTGAAACTGGTTTAAGATAAACCTGGATTGATGTAGTATCAGACGTAACTGATTTAGGTTAAAAATCAGTTTGTTGAACTTCTGTCCCAGGTCCCCTTCAGATTCAAGTTAGCTCAGAGTTCCACAGCATCCCAGGATGCTTTGCAACTCCCCCACAAACTCCTCCTAGAAAAGTGGGTGGCCCAAGCTGCCTGCTTCAGCTGAGGAGGGAGGCATGCTGTAGTGTCCCCCGGCTTCTGGCCTGAGTTACTGCAGGCATGTGGCTGCATTTCCAGACTCAAAAGTGAATGTCTGGTCACTTGCTTATCAGTTCAAGCTACACAGCTTAAATTAACCTGTGAAGATTGGTTTCAGCCATTTTCAAACTGGTTTATGTGCACTAAACATATGTTCTGTTACAGGTTTAAACTAATCACTTCAGCCTCAGGCTTTTTGACTACCTGTACTTAGCCTAAAGGTGCTTGGCTTACCTTCTGACCCGTCTTCAGACTAACACAGCTAACTGTCTCTTTCAGGATTTATTAAACCATAGAAGCTCCATGCTCTTACGTTAAACTGCTTCCAGTACTGGAGTTTGCTTAGCTATCTCTACACTGCACTATAGATATGCAGTGTAGGTTAACTCTTAAGTTAGAATCAGCTAATTTCCCAGACAAGGTAATTCAAGGGGATCTTACTACAAACTGGGTGATCCTTCAGGATGTAACCATCTATGGAATGAGTAACTATAGAGATGATGTATGCACAAGGTCAGAGGAGTGTTTGTTAGATGATGAGTTGAAAAGCAGATGTTCCATGAGTGGAGTTTGTTGAAATCTTCCTAACAAACCTCTCTCTCAGAAATTGGTCTTTTTACAACGATGATATTGTTCCCAACAACTTTAATTTAGTAGCATTTTACATCCACTTTCTACAGAATTTACGTAGGTGTAAGTGAGAACACAACAGGCAGTAAAGTGGTGGGCTGGGCCTGCTCTTTATATGACAGTACTTGAACTTTGTCTTTTATGTGCTAATTGGCCAGCATGGAGTTTACAAGGTTGGTGACTGTCCTAACTCCAAGAATCTGTACTCACATCAGAAGGGTTGTAGATGTCATTTGTCCAAAGCACTATTGATAAGAACATTAGCACAGGTCGAAGGAAAGCTAACTGAAAGGTTCCCAACTTCAGCAAAAACAGAGTTTGTCTGATGAATTAAAAAAAAAGGAAACAATTATGCCACAGTCACCACTTCATTAATAATTTGAACAGAAATCCACTAGACATTATCGAGTAAAAGAAACACAAGCTTTTACTTAACTTTAGAGTCTGACTAAAATCTGGCTTAAGTATGCATATAGAATTTGTTAAATTTCACATTAAAAGGTATTAATGTAATATATTAATATTTTTAGGCCCTACAGCAATAGTAAACTGTTGATCCAAGCCATTCATAACATGTCCTCTTCTGCATTACAGTCAGCTGAATAGCACCATAGTTGTTGCTTGAACAAAGATGCCATTAATTCCTTCATTATAGCTATGTTTTCTAAAACTCTGCTACACTTGGAGGTCAATGCTTCCATGGACAGCATTAAGTTTAATGGCAAACATTCTTAGAATTTTAGTTCTTGTCTACAGGAGGAATGTTGCACATGGGGGCTTCTGGGCTAAGGACAGACATTACACATAAACTGGTTTAAGTGATCAGAAATTGGTTTAAACCTGTAACAGAACATATGTTTAGTGTACATAAACCAGTTTGAAAATGGCTGAAACCAGTTTGAGATAAACCTGGTTGAACATAATATAAGACTTGACTCATTTGGGTCAAACCAGTTTAAGAAACGTCTGTCCCACACCCCTTCCTGGTTTCAGTTAAGCCAAACACCCCCAGCATCCTGTCATGCTCTCTGGGCTGGACAGGATTCTCTGCTTCACAGCAGGGCTGGCCCCTCCCCTCTGTTCCCTGGCTGCAGCTCTGGCAGAGACTTGCAGGCTGCTCCCCTCTTCCCCCTCATCACTCCCTGCTAAGCAGGAATTCCATGCTTCCCTCTGTCTTGCTGAGAGGCATCTGTGTATTAGCTAGCAGACCACATGCTGGCTATGGTCCCTGCTGTGACAAAGACAGAATCAACAGGTAGCTGGTAATGTCCTTCTATTGTTTTCTTAATGGGGTAATAAACCCTGAGTTAGGGGTAATTAGTGTTCCACATTTTCAGTTTTTATTTTCAAAAAAAATTTCAGGAATTTTTCAGGGTTTATCTTCTACATAAAAACTGGGTTGAAATCAGGCTAAAAGGAAGAAAAGGAAAAAAAAAAAATCGGTTTCAATCAGGGAAAATAATAATACATTCTCATGGCGGTGAGATGGGGGAAGGACTGAACTAAGGTGGGGACTAGTGAAGGGGTGGGGGGCAGCACAGCTCGGCCACTCCTGGGGCTGCAGCAGGAAGTAAAGCAGGGGGAGCTGTCAGCGAGTGTGTGGCACGGGGCAGCAGGGGGTGGCTCTTGCTGCTGCATGCCCCCTGAGAGGACTGTGGGCTGTGGAGCTGTGCCAGGCTCTTCCTGGGGGCCCTGTATCTGCATGTGGGACAAGAGCTGGCTGCCGCCCCCTCCCCCCCACAAGCACTGGAAAGAGCCCAGTGCCACCGCTGACCCCAGCCAGCAGTGGCAGCCTGCTCTCATCCCATGCACAGATCCAGAAGCATGCCACCCACAGGAAGAGCCCAGCACAGCCCCCAGCCCACAGCCCTCCCAGGGGACATGTAGCAGCAAGAGCTGCGCCCTGCCGCCCCATGTCCCATACCCACGGACAGCTCCCTCTGCTTTGCTCCATGCTACAGTCCCAGGAGTGGCCAACAATCTGCACTATGCCCCTCCCCACTGCTGGAGTGAAAAGGGAATATCTATCCACCTTCAAATCAGTTCAAGTTTTGCAGATTAGACTAACTTGCAAAGATAGAATCAATTCAGGCTCAGGCTTTTTGAATTCTGTTTCCATGTTTCTGATCAATAAATCTGCAGTTTTGAAGTTGTCCAGGAAAAGGAGTTGTGCAGGCTCAGGAGAAAAAACTAGCATTTTTCAGAGCATCTTTCCGTAGACTGTCTTTAATATCCACCTACTTTTGCTCCTTTGCATAGTCACAGGTGGAAGAAATTATATATCCACTGTCAATACACTATGTAGTTCCAACACTATCACTGGTGATCAATATACCCACTTCCATGAGTCCAGTGCCTCTGCCACACATTACTCTTAAGACATGATTAACCAATTAATCACATCTTAAGTTGCAACCCAGCTACACATTAAAGCAATTAATGGCATCTTAAAAAAAGGAATAAGCCATAAAGTTATTCCACATTTTTGTAGAATAACTTTATGACTGGTTTCTGACACAATATTACTTGAATGTGTGGCCAGGTGCACCTCTGTAGCTGGGAGTCCCATCAGCTGATCTGGGTACGTGTGGCATAGCAGGAAGTGCAGTTGTGTGGATCATACCTTTGCCTGAATGTCTTGCAGGGGCCTAAGTTGTATCCTTAACATAATCTATATATCTGAATATTTGGATGTTAATGCTGGTTGTAAAAAAGGATAATAAGAAAAAAAGAGAAAATACATTTGCTAATAAAGGGCATGCTAATATACATGACCTGCCTTTAAGTGAATACTGGACAATCTGGGGCTGGGAGTGTTGCAGCTTCTCTCTCCTTTGTCAAGTGTATCCTCCTCGTTGTCAGCATCATTATTCTGTAGTTATTTCCCACCTCTCTATTTTTCTTTTTTTTCCCTTTTTTGTTTTGTTTTGTTGTTGTTAAGGTTTTCCCTATTGCTCCCTTAGCTCCTCAGGGACTCTCCTTAATGAAGGCTCAGCAGTCAGCAAGCTACCTTTTAATGCTTAATGTGATATATTAATGAACTTGTCTGAATTGCTCAATTAATACAGCTATAATTACATAATAATTAATAATTAGAGTGGTAATATTATTCCTGCAAATAACTGCAAACAGTAAGAACACATGTGAAAAATCTTTAGATGGGTCACCCTATTAGGGGATTTGCCTTCTTAAAGGCTTTTAAGACTGGTTTAAAAACAGAGTCATTGTTTGAATGCTAGTTGCAGATTGAAAGCTGTTGTCATGCCTTTCCTTCCACAGGTTGTGTACCTCTACCATACTTATCTGCACAACCCATCTATCTGTCAGTCTTATCAGATCCAATAAAAAAAACAAGCTGCTCCTCAAATCTCTGAGGACTAATTCGCTCTCTCCCAAGAACACCTGCAGGCAGGGGCAGAGGAGACAAATTGCTCTGGACCACTTTAGTGACGTTTCAAAGAGTCATGCTATGTAAAAGAGGGGTGAGGGTTGGGAGGCTAAAGCATAGACCGGAGACTGGGCATCCTAATATTCCATGAGAAGGCTTTTCTCACTCATCTGTAGACATGAGAGGTCCAGGATATAAAGTAAGAGAAAAAGTCAATATACTGAAGACTTATACTTTGTGAAATGGTAGACATAGCAAAGCCATGTCCTCTTTACTTCCGTCAGCTTCTCATTATTCAGGCCCGGAGCATTAATCATATCAAAGTCAGTAGGATCCTTTCCACTGATATTAACTGTTGCTGGATAAGATTTTGGGTGGATATCTTATGGATACTTTTTGAACCCCATTTTTAGGCCCCTGGCACATGTTATACTTAAGCTGTGATTAACCAGTTAATCACATCTTATGTTGTCACCCAGCTACATGTTAATGCAATAAATGGTGTGATCAAACAAGGAATAAGCCACAAAGTTATTTCACAAAAAATATGGAATAACTGTGCTGGCTCCTATCACATTATCAATTGAACTCGTGGCCAGAGGTGTGCTCCCACACTGGGAAGTTCCATCAGCTGACAGGGCTCCCAGTTGCAGAAGCCTGTTACCTGTTGGTGGGATCATGATCCTATTAACAGGATCATGATCCCAGACTCCCCCTGTGCCAGCAATAAGGCACGATGAGATCTGATGTGGATCCCACAATAACGCCTCCCTGCCATGCACGTGGCATGGCAGGAAGCACAATTGTGGGGATCCCACATCAGATTCCATCATGTCTTTACTTGGGCCTTAGTTTGTTTTTACTGCCTATTGTCCTTGGTATTTATGGTATGTATATAGATACCTTTAGTCTTCAAAATTAAAAAGTGTGGAAAGTTTAAAGTCTGAGATATAATGGAATGATTTAAGAAAAAATGGTAAAAAGAAATTCAGGGTTTTTTTGTTTTGTTTTGCAAATGCTGATTATAAATTGAATTCTTCTCATAGTTTTGACTAAGTTCTCTTCATGGTGCATCTCCAAAACTCTTCTTGAGTTATTTTCCCCCAGAATTTTTTCTCCCCTGTCCCAACAATCCCTCACTCTTCCTTTCATTGACTACTGTACTGCATTTGTTTTGGTTTTGTCCATCTGGTCTGTTTTAGGTGCTTAATCCTACTAAGCACCCTCTGTTCCCACTGATGCTCATAAATTGGGAGCACTTAGCACCTCCCAAAAAGTTCTCTACCACTTACACAATCAGTCCCTGGGTCATTAGCACTGCAGTGAGATGCACACATTCCCTGTGCCAATACAAATTCTAGTGGTGTCCCCATCTCACTGGACTGTGGGCAACACTGCTAAGCATAACATGCCATGGAGGTAATATCATACTGTGTCCCATCTGTAAACTTCAAGTTTATACAAAAAGCAGAATTTATTTGCTGACATCTTTTAGTGAACCAACTATACAGTTGGGAGAAATGCCCTTCCTCAGGTCTGGTCCAATAAAAGATATTACCATTTTTCTTCTTTTTATATATTTCTGAACCATCAGGGTTATAAAAAACTGCAGGGCTAACAATCTCAGATATAGCCTTTTTCATTTCCTGTGGCCACAAGCAAAGTCCAGGGAACTTGGAGCTAAAACACATTCAGAAATACCTCCTTACTAGGATTAATTCAATCATTTCTGAAAGAAGGCTTCATCCAAAAGCTCCATTTAATTTAAATAAAAACTTTTCACAGGGACATGTTGGTTTTGATGAAATAGTGTTCAGAAAAAATCAGAATGGAATATTTGGATTTTTTGGTTTCAGAGGAGTTTTGTAAAAACAGAATTAGAATTAAAATATTTCAGTGTTATTGGGCATATCTACATGAGACACTTTACTGCACAGTAGACTAATCTACTGTGCAATAAAGCATCACAGTCTACACATGTGGGGCATTTACTGTGCAGTAAATTAGGCTACTTAGCAGTTAGCTAGTACCTGTAAATACAGGCACATGGTTAACTGTGCAGTTACTGCTCAGTACTGCACTTTTAGATGCTGACCAGGAGCAAATCTGTTCTTCGTCAGCCTAGGCAGTAGGGAGCCACAAGGGATGAGGACTTCTCTGCCTTCCACAGGGCTTGCCAGCACCTGCCCCACTTTTGGCACAGTTCCTTCTGTCGAGCGAGAAGCCCCACCTATTAACAGCTTGAAATTCAGAGGTGACTCATTCAAAATACACCAAGAGCAATTTTGTTTTTAAAAAACCAGGAAGTTCTGTGACTGTTCATGAGATACTGCTAAGTAGCTGATTTCCTGCACCAGATTCAAAGGGAAACTCACCTAGTGATGCGCACATGAGGAAGGCAAAGACAACAGCAACAGAAGGGGCCTGTGCTGATCTTGAAACGATCATTCTCAAACCGCCTGAGAAATAAGTTTTGGCCTCCACACTCTTTAATCATCATCAGCAGGAACTTGTGGATGACAATGGCAAAAAAGCTATTGGAGAAAAAAGAATGTCACCTTAAATGTACACAAATGGCCAAAAGTTCCTTGTAAGCCAACAGACAAGTACCTTTCACCAGTCCAAAAATATCAGAAACTGCACTACCTGAGTTCCTGCAATGTGTAACTATATTTAGCACAAATTGAACAGAAATAATGTGTCACAACTGCCTTGTACTACCACTAAAGTGGTATTAATACCACTTTAAAAGAGGAGTATGCTAAGGCACAGAGCAGTTATGATATGCTTAAAGTTTCAAAACATAGTGGGGGCAAAAGCAGCGTTAAAATGCAGGAGTTTCTGGCTTCCACCTTAATGGTCTATCCACTGGACTATGCCATCTCTATTTTTTTTAATTATAAAATTTCTGTAGTTGACTGAATTCTAACAACACCAGCTACATCTGACGGTCAGAAATTGTGAGTGAGTGAGTCACATTCCTCCTTTGACAATTGTCCTTAGCACATACATATCCATGTTAATATTAATGTAGTAATATGCATTTATATAACCATTCACATTGATCGTGAATCATTAATATTCAGTATTAATAAACAATCATATGAATTAATATTGGTTAACTACATGTCATTAATATGTATGCCTTTCTTTGTATATACATTTGTAGTACCTTATACACTAACAGCATTAGATAAGGCACAGACAGTTTGCACATATTACACTGAAGAAATTATTTAATAAATTAATAATGCTCAGTATTATTGTGTTTTACCCTTTTTCATTCTGCTTTCTAAATAAAACTCAGTCAGCAGTCAGGGGGTTCTAATGCTAGGGTTTATGTTTGTGCTCCCAAATCCCTTCAGCACTTTTGAAAATCCCTCCCTTATAGATTTCAACCTTTTGGTCTCTGCCATAGCCAGCTACACCATTACCTTTAGAAAACAGAGACCATATTTCCTTTCTCCCCTTTACATGTCAGAACTGTCAAGCTCATATACAAAGAGCTTTTATCAGGACATCTGTGGAACATTTTTACATTGATATAGTCATTGGAGGTTCACTTGCCACCATTAATAATAGATCTCCACAGTGTGTCATTAATAAAAGCATGGTGAAAAATCATAGGTCAGCATCTCATTCCACATGGCATTCAGAGAGATGTCCAGGGCTCCAAGGCTGCTGTCAATCAGAGGGATCAATCGTGTAACTCTCAGTTCTTCCACACTGTAGCTTCCATGCTAGTGGATAGCAGCCCTGGGAACTGCTTTAATATTTTCTGCCTCCTGTAAAATAGCTCCCAAGAGATTTCACCTCAAACTAAAAAATTACTCAATTGTTAAATTTACAAAATAACTATGTTTATCTACTGATAGCAGCTGTTTAAAGGCAGGAAATTCAGGGTTCAGAGTAGAAACGAGAAGAATACATACACTGCTGCAGTGAAATCTGTAAACATTGTGGAGCGAGGAATCCACATCCCAATGCATGATGTAGTAGCTATCACCTAGACAGAAAGACAGCGAAGTTACTGAGGGACAGAGGTAACACCAGGTCACGAAAGACTATTTATCTCCATGCAGGACTACATGGAATTTTAGATGACCACACAATAATTAGATTCTGTACATGGAAAATTATAAGTTTATAAAATTATACATTTTTATTGGAGGATCATCTTAAATTCATCCTTCCCCACAACTGCTGCATTTGTGCCACCCTGCCACCTATCCTGCTGCCCCTTACCCCTCCATGCCTGTACTTGCTGCCTGCCCCCACTGCTGCCTGCTCCCTACCACATGCCCCCTGTCCCTTGCCCTCCATACCCCTAAATCCCTGCATCTATACCTGCTCCTCTGCTGCTTATCTATGGTTTCTGCCTGTAACACAGGGCCTTCTCGGGGCCGATTTTCCTTTAGCCCACCCACCTGTTTCTGGGCCAGCTGCCCGCCTTCTCGCTTGCCATTCCTTGTTATTAATTAATTGATCTTAATTGGGTGGGACGCTGACTGTTTTCTTGCTCCAATGCCAGGGGGCACTATCTGTGGCTCCGTACCTCCCCTACACCGCAGCCCATGTCTTGCAGATGGCATCCCGCTGTTACTCTCACCGGCCCCACACTGGGCCCCAGTCCTCCTATCAGGACCCCTCCAACATCCCTCCATTCAGGCTGCCTACCCCACCCTCATTCAGGGCTGCCTCACTCCCTGAAACTATTTCCCCTCTCAGGTGTGGTCCCCCAGGACCTTTGGCCACATAGGCCCTAGCCTCACCTCCAAGGCCAGTCAGGAACCCCAAGCCCTCAGCTCTGGGCACCCCTCGCAGTGGGCCCCTGGCCCTTTTGACCGTTCTGGTCCTGGCCCCAGCACTGACCAGTCGAGGGTACTCTCAGTCAGGCCTCTGCACCTTTAGCCCCACTCTCAGTCCTGGGCCCACCACCTGGCCCTACTAGCAGGTGATTCACCCAGTTGTGGGAGCTGGGGTTAAGGCACCCTAACCCACCTTTCACTGGGGTAGTAACTGGCCTGGCATTTCCTGGGGGCTCCCATGCCACTGACAGCCTCACCAGGCCACCCACCATGGTGCAGTTTTAGGTCATGCCCAGGACCAGGAGCCTCCTAGCCATCCCCTACAGCTCCTCCCTTACCTCCAGGGTGTTCCAAGAAGCCTCACCACCAGGCAATGTTGTTTCCTGCCCTGCCAGCAGGGAAATGCCCTGCTTATATAGGCAGCCCTGAATCTAAAATGGCTGCCGCAATCAGACACCTGCTGGCTGCTTGGTTTAAGTCTTAAAGTGGCAGGCACAAATAGTGCCCTGCCACACTGCCCCTCTGCTGCCTGCCTTGGCTGCACCTGTGCCTGATCCCTGCCTCCACAGAACCAGAGCTGAAGATAAGTAGCAGAGGGGTAAGTGGCCAGAGGAGAGACAGGTGGCAGGGGTGGGGAGGCTGTGCAGTCTGCCCTGTGCTCCCCTCAAGCCACTCACAGTGGGTCTCCACTGCATACCTCCTTCTACCACCTGTATTTTTACACATGCAAGTGCTGCAGAGCTAGGCACTTTGAAAAGCACCCGGTGCTGCAATACTTGCAGTTGCATAAGCAGCAAAATGCGCACCAGTGCTGAGAAAATGGCAGTGGCTCACTTTTGAACTAAAACACATCACAGGTGCTTTAGTTCAAAAGCACACTGGCGCCATTTTTTCTGCACGTTGACACACATTTCGCCACTTATACAACTGCACGTGGTGCAATACAGTGTGCGTCAGCTTGTGTTCAGAGCAGACTCGATTAATTATAGTTTCCCCTTTGTGCCATGTGTATTATTCTATAATCTTTAATTATATGATTACACATTCTCTTCCACAGGACCTTGGGGTGCAAGTAGTTGGAGCTTATTTGTTAGCAGTACTCTCT